CAAAGGACCAAGGCAAAAGAGAGCTTTAAAAATAGGTTATCCAAGCCAAAGGATTATCAGCTTGCAACATACTTAATATCTGCCTATCTGTATCTAATGAAAGCTTCAATATTCTTACATATATGATTGGGTTTTGTACCTCCATCCTATAGAAGCCATAGTAAATTCTGTACAGCAAATGCTTCCTGAATCTGCTGTGCTCATTTACTCACAGACAGCTGCAGGCTGGATGAAAACAATCAGGGATTAACTTTTCTATTCATCACATCTTTTAATCCATTACTTTCTCTTAGTTTGCAATAAATGAACACATAAAATTAAATAAATCATAAGCGTTATAGCTACTTAGAAAAAGTAGTTTAAAAGGGACATTGTAATTATTATTATTTTTAATGATGTGTAACTGCTGTACTTTACATCAGTATATATAATATCTTCCTCAGAGCAGAAAGGAAGATGGAACAACAGTCACTGAGATGCAATAAACTACTGGGTACCAAAGACTTCCAAAATAAGTGATAATTAAAATAAGCTACTTTGATGTTGTTATTATTCCTCAAAAAACTAATTTGGGGGGGACGATGAATTGAAATAATCTGAGAAGCTGTGCTAAGCATTTCATACTGCTTGTAAAACAAGCTTCTAAGTACCTTATGGTAATAGGGTTTCTTGCTTTATGAAAAATACTATTGTAATTTGTTTCAAATAGGATTACTTTTTAAATGATATGGCAATTTTTATTCATCTTTCAAACAGATGCTGAGAAAACAAAAGGGATTCCTTCATAAAGGCATGAACACAATTCAATCTGGATCTCGTTTTTAGTCCTTTACTGGTATCCTTTTACCCCCTCCTTTGAATCCTTTATCCTTTATATTTGTATTACACAACTGCAGCATCCCTGTCTGAAATAAGACTAACTTACTTTCCTGTTAGTAACAGTAAGGTGGTTTTTATTGTGCTAAACCACAGGAATCCCTTGCAAGGCTTTTTTTTTCCCTCAGTTCGTTGTTGAAAATGGCAGCACCAAGTGAAAAAAACCCCATGGTTATCTGTGCTAAATGCTGTTCATGTCACAGTTCCAACAAACTGGTCACCCAGACTGTCTGGGATGGGAAGATGGACTGGCAATGGAGATGGCAGGAAAAGCAGTGTGGTGAGAAAGAAGTGACTTGCTCAGAGAAGAAGGGAGAGGATGTGTGAGAGAGACCACACAGCTTGGAACTTCCTGAGGGAAAGGTCAACATTTTTTAACAGGTTGGAATAACTCTCAGATTCTTATGCTGATACTGTGGCTAAGAGGAAGCAGGTTGTACAAAGCTCCAGTTTGATGGGAGACATAAGGGTTTATAGCCAGAAAGGAACTGAACTGCTCAGTGCATCCTGCCTGCATGTTTATGTCCTGATCAGACTGAGGAGGAGAGTCCATGGGTTTGGGTTCCAGATCCTCATTTCATCATGAGCTTCCTCTGTGAAATTATCCAAGAGACAGAGCTGCCCCCACCCATCATAAGGATGTGAGAGGAATGAGGCTTTCTTCAGACTGAAACAAGAACTGGGAGGGGAGGAGGGAGAGGAGGGAGAACATCTGAACGTCTCAGAGACCATCCACCAGCTCTGACCCCTAAATCAGAAACTTCACTTCAAAATCTTCTGGTTTTTCTCTTTTGGATACAACCCTTAATTTGTTTTGCTTCTACAGAAGGGAAGCAGGCAGCCTTCATCTCTGACTAAACACATTTGCTCACACTGGCCCTAAGTAAATGCTTTTATCTGGTGAGATCTGAGTGAAGTAACTAAACACACCTTAGAAGAACATCCCTCTCTTACAGTCAGTTGTCACATTACTCCATGGGTCATTATTTTTACCTTTTTGGCTCTAAAAGAAATATTTTTCCATTTTTCTTCTTTTTACAGAACTGTGAAGTCTTATGGTTATTGCAAAGAAACTTATATAGGCCTAATTTTTCAGAACTTCAACACATCTATCTAATATAAGTTAATTTAGTTTACAATTAAATTAAAAGTAAATGAACAATCTCTGTGGGATTTGATCTGTAGAACAAAGATTTAGTGGCTCTGCTGTAAATTAGGATTTTCTACTGCTAGAGGATACACTGGTCATTCTCCACCTGAACTGCTTCTCCATCATCTTCAACTAGAGGGACAGCCCTAATACCACAGTTCGGCACAGATTCAGGCAAGAGGGGGGAAAAAAACCAGAAAAATTAAAAAGCAACTCCCTTTTAGACATGTAATTCGACCTCTTCCACAGACAGTGCCACCCTCCTGAGCTGCAGCCTCTGCTATGAGCAGAGCAGCTCATTCACCCCAAGCTGCAGGACCAGGAATCACCCTGCTGTCAGATCCCTGAATCTGCAGTTCTGGCAACATTACTGGAAAGCAGCTTTGTGACTGCTGACAAACTGGGAGACACCCACATAATACCTTCTGCAATCCAAGTACCCGTGACTTCCTGCAACAGCAGCTCGGGACAACAGAATTATCTAAGGGTAATGTTAATTAGCACATGCCAAAACAGATGGACACGGGGAGTGCAGCTCCTCACAGATTTCAAGCAAATATTGTTTCTCATATTTTCAATACTCCAGTTTGAGAAATGTAAAAAATGGTTTCTGTCACCAGAGAAAACCTACTCTTGAAACTATTAAGTCAAGTCCAGCCTGCAATCAATACCACCAATAAAATAGTCATACCCTTAGGACAACACACCCCGGTAAGGAGGTAGCTTGGTTTTGGAAAAAAAAAAATAATATTGCCACTTCTATTACTTATTTGTGTATTATGCCTGCATTTAAAAAACATCTATGACTAAAGTTACTGTGTACGAGGATCACTAAAAGTTAAAAGATTATGTCAGAACATTTCCAGGAGCAACGTGGAGTTTTCTCCAAAACCTCATTCCACTGAATGCTATTGCGAATAATCAAGAATATTATTGACAAGCTGACTGTGAAATGATTGAACAGCTCATCATCTACAACCTTAAACCTCCACAGACAAGAGACGCCCCCCCAAGCTGCACATATGTCAAAGCATTTCCCACAGTTGTAGCTTATTACTAAATGAGTCTAAAATAATTACAAAATACAAAGTGATTACAGTTATTAAAGGAGCCTAAAATAATAACAACAAGGTTTAATGAACTGGTTAGATATCAAAATCCAGTATCTAACCAAAAAGGCACTTTCTGAGAGATGAATGATGAAATGTTTCTCAAGTGACATGAGTATGATGTGTCCTTATCTCCCTGAGGATACTCCTCAAGCTCTTTGCTATTCCTTCCCCCTCTGTTGCCTCTAAGAGGTACATTACTCAAATAAAGTATGTTGGAATTCATCCAGAACTATATGGATATAGTGGATAACCAGACAAGTATGATAAGCTAAAGCCAGCTTTTTGACGTTGAAATGCTGACATCAATCTGCAGATTCATCATCACACCAGCTCTCAGGTTTTCTGCTCAGGATTTGGTTCTTTGATTTACCTTTTTTTTTTTTTTTTTTTTAACTGGGAGACATTCCAGAAATAGACATTTTGATGACTTCGCTTTTTTAGAGTGGTAAATCCTAAAGGAAAAATGTCCAGCTAACTTAAATTAGGTGGGAGGAAATAACTTCGTATTTAATCTTTAAGACAAGTCTACTGATTTAAATAGATATGCTCAATCCACCACCATCTTGCAAAAAAATGCAAGTCAATAATGGAAGCACCAGTATTTCTACTTTTCAGTGGAAAAGTGGAGGCATCAGGAAAACTTGGAGACTATCAAGAACTAACAGAGCAGAAAGTAAGGGAACATTTCAGCCTAAACAACTACTTCCTTTCATTTAAAAATTTTCAAAGAGTCATGAAAGCATTAGTCATATGCAAATATAAACAACAATAAACCTCTTAGGAATAACTGATTTGTTTTTAGTTAATTTTTTACAGATTATTAATAAATCCAGAAGGATGAAGAATTGGAAAGAAACTATCCCACTATCCCGGGGAAAAAACCTTTCAAACTCACTATGAAATTTATGCAGAAATTAAGGCTTTGATGCAATGTGTCCACAGTTTTCTGAGTGAGGTGAAAGTATCAGAGAGCTACAAGAATTTCCATACAAGAATTCACATTACCACACAGAATTTTTATTTATATCCCTGTATGCAACCAGGAAAGGGAATGGAAAGCAGTCCTTAATCCAGAGAAATTCTTAAATTTCATGTGAGCTGGCCCAATTCTCCATATAAATAAAATACTATCAAGTTACAGATTTGCATCACAGAGTTAAATCAGAGCAGACTACACAGACTGTCCTGCTTCAAAAAAATGCTTATTTTTGTTCAGCTTCAGGATGCTTCTGTGAAACTTTAATTTACTTGAATGAAAGCATTTTAAATCACTTTTATCAAACTTGGTTTTATTTTAATGGTGAATCTCTCTATGTAAAAAATCTTTAAAGAGCCTTAAGGTTCTTCAGTGAGGGGCCTTTAATGCCTGTCATTACCCTTCAGCCAGTGCCATGCACCAAACTCCAGGACAGGAGCATGGATATGGAGAGTTGCATTCTGCCACATCTTTATTGAATTGTAGGGAATCATCTTTCTCCTTCTTCTGACCTTTCTCTTCTCTTCTTCTGACCAATTATGCCTACTGAAGCTGATTTTGGGTGATGCCAAAACAGCCTGCAAGAGCCTCACTTGGTTCATCCAGATATGTGGATGTGTCTTTAATCTGTTACCAACTGATATATACTTAAAAAGCATCTACCATTCTTATGCATTACCTATCAAATTTTCATTTTCAGAGCATATTTTGAAAACATTTCAGCTTTTTTCCCCATCTTGTTTTTTTCCAGATAACTTACTTTTAAAATTTCCCTGAAATTGTGCTTGTCATCAGCCCTGTAGTCGAACCTCACACAGAACCAGATGTAACATCTTTGCAAAATCCTGGCTTAAACATTTGTAGTGTCTGTAAATATTTTGCTTACCAATATCAGCTTCCCTGTGATTCTTGATATATTCAGCAAGCTCAAAATTTCCAGCTATTATAGCCACCTAAAGGATTGCAAAAGAGGTACAATTAATATATTGCCATCAGTTTTTAAGAAGGAAAATAAACATGTTATAGTACCGGAGAAAAACATCAAGCAAATATACTTTCATTTCACAAAGTGGAGTAACTCTGTATTGCTTCTATTCTGCAACAACACTGAGAAATTATATCCTAATCTATTTGTAAGAGCACTGCCAGGCCCCCAGCTCCCCATTTCCCAGGAATGCTGTGATGGGGGCAGTCTCCAGAGGCTGCTGGAAGAGCTGCTGCTTTTCCTGTTGTGGCAGCCAAAGCCAGCAGTGAACATCAAACACAGCATCCCCAAAACTCTGGGAGCTCTATGGATGGATGGGGAATGGGACAGGAAAAGGCTTGGAGAGACACACTGAAAACATTATTTCCCTTGAACTGTTCCTTCCTCACCACTTACCTGAACAATAAAAACAGAAGCTAAAATGCAAAGTACATGAGATAACCAGGGGAAAAGCACCAAGAACTACCAGCATTCAGGTACCAGTAAGACATCAAAAAAAGACTGAGAGAACTGGTAAAGTCATGCATGTGCTTAGGGTTTAAATCAAAACAAGTTCTAAAATCACAATTTTCTTTTTCATTTATTTCCTGGTTGTTGAACACAAATGTGTAACTATCCCTAAAAATCCTTGCGGAAGGACCCAGATTTAAACAAATGGTGATGTAATCTCTGATTTTAATTTTGGACTAAACAAGTAATAATTGGTGTAAAGAGAGACAGTCTGATTCAGTTTGGGTTATAAAGTCTACTGGCTAGTTAAAGTACAAGAAAGACTTGTATAAAAGTATAAGACAGTATCAGACTAACTTTTTTAGATTACCATACATAGTTTAAACAAACAACTGAACACACCATTTATCATGTTCATGCCCTGAATCCAGGTCTTCTCCCAATTTCTTTTTAATGTTTTTCAGGTTACATCCTTTTTCTTGGCAAATTGTTTCTTGTTCCACTGAAAATTTCTATCTAATGCAACAGGTAAATACAGCAATTTTGTTTTCATTTCAAGTGTATCTATTTCATGGCAAAAATTCCATTCCACATTTATCTGTCACCTAGAAATTATACTCAATACACTTATGTTTCTATTCTACAATAACCCTCAGCAGCTATGACCACGTGCAGTATAATGATTTTTGTCTTTTAAATAATTAACACACATTTAATATCACCATACTAACTAGTGAAAATAATGTAATTATTTTTTCAATGCAATATTAACAGTAATGAAATATTTCACTTTGTGCACTTCCCAGTTGTGTTATATCAAATGTTGATGGATTCCTGGAAGGAAAATGCATTAGAATAAATCAATAACACTGGTTCAACTTAATCCTGCTACAGCTTTCAGACTGCACTTCTTCTCAGATACATCACAAGGCTTGTGCATATCATGATATCTGCACAGATCAGATTACTGCCCTGACAAGCTGTGGCTGCCCCATCCCTGGAAGTGTTCAAGGCCAGGGTGGATGGGGCTTGGAGCAACCTGGGCTAGTGGAAGGTGTCCCTGCCCATGGCAGGGGGTTGGAACTGGATGCTCTTTAAGGTTCTTTCCAACACAAACCATTCTGTGATTCTATGATTCTGTGATCAGGGGGGTCAGAGACAGGCAAGTTGGTGTGCTGCTACCTCACCATCTGAAAATTACTATTTTAACCACTACTAAGCCAGCCCTCATTCCAAGAACTACCCCAGGAAGAAACTGTTTCTCAGCATGGTTAACACACCATATTCTGGCCCCCGGTCTCCTCTGGACAGCCCTGAGTGTAAATCCCTGCAAACAGCACTAGGAAAGCAACAGCAGAGCTGGACAAATGCTCTGTCTTTACCTCCACATTCTGCAGCCTGGCTTGGTTCAAGCTCATAAAAACAACATTTGTGTGCAGACCTGAGGTTTTCCCTGCATTATAAGTGAACTACAATATCTCTCTTCGATATTACTCCTAATTAGCACATCAAATTCCAAGGGGGAATTCAGCAGTGACAGGCAGTTTGTGAGACAGCAGCCATGCTACCCAAATGAAAGAGGTTTTGATACAGAGCAGATTTTAAACCTCAAGTGTAAACTTGCTCTTCAAGTGATAAACACATATTATTACTTGGAGGGGAAAAAAAAAAAAAAAAGGAAGAAAAGATATTTCCAGATAACTCAGGGACAGCTTGACAGGGAATTGTTCCCATGCTTGCTTCTGAATCAAGCACTGGATTCAGCAAGGAAACATTTTTCCTCAATTTGATTCACTTCAATTGGCTAAAAACGGTATGTAAAATCCAAGCAGCAAAATGAAGGAAAAGTATGTTAAGATCTAAAGAAAGCAAGAAAAAGCTAAAAAGTAGAAATATTCCTTGGCATGACATCAATGTACTTTGCCTGGATTTGATGGGTAAAGTGTGTGGGAGAAAGTGAAGTCAGAGAAAAATCGGAAAGACACAAAATTACACTCATTCAATTTGTACAGTTGCAAACTATAAAGAACAGCAACCACAGCCCCTTTCCCATCCAAATGTATCTTAAATGTATCCAAAGTTATAGTGTGTTCAAATAAAAATATTAGCATTAATGCACTGGGACAAGTGAAAGGCCTTTACAAGATCCAGGGTTTGAACCAAATTAAGGCGGTGTAAATTCTCCCCTTGATCAAGATGAAAATTAAATTAGAGACTAACTGAAGTTCTATATTTGTACTAAATTTCTTTGTACTTTAGAAAAAAGTAGCAATGTAGAGTCTTGGCAAAAATACTGGAGTTTGATTCTCTCCATGCTTCAGAATTTACATGGTTTTAAATAACCATATTTTGCTTTTCAGGATGTTCTGCAGACAAGTGCTAGATTTAAAATTGAGAGGTTATGGCAGGAAAGGAGGTTTTGTTTGAGGTTTCTTTTGATCACAAGTTATCTCCTCTTGGCAGTGAAAAAGTAGCACAGGCAGCAAAACTACAGTGAAAGTTTTTTTCCAATTCCAGTAGGAACTGGATTCCAGTCATCAAAATGCATCACATGGGTGTTTATGGACATGAAATATCACCACGAAAGGCTGGAGGTAGCACTTTACAACTAGAGGCTATCCACGGACTCTGTTATGCTGAAGCTTCAAAAATTGCAGCTTTTTTGAAACTGCATATACAGCAGTCTTACCATAACTCAGGTTCTTTCATTCCTGCAGCAAACGTCCTTTCATTTTGTCTTTTTGGCACTTACCTTACATCAAAAATCTGCATGTCCCTTGTCACGTTATTCTGCAAACCTGATACCACCTGTTTCTGCATCTTATAAAAAAATCACTCACATGCAATTTCCACTGAAACCTGCTGCTTTTTTGCCCTATTTTTAAAGGGTGTCTGTACTTTGCATCAGCTTCAGAATCAGAAGGACTTCACCTGCAGCGTCCCAGCACGGTGTCAATCAAAGCCCAGCAGAAAAGCTTGACTAAGTAGTTCTAGCACAGTGCTTTTAAACCCAAACCAGCATCTTTGCTGCAGACATTTGATTGGGATCTCCCCGTATCCTACTGTATGATAGAGAACAGAAATTATCTTGGGGTGATGGGGGGTTTTTAATCATCATTAGAGGAAATTTTGTGTGAGTGACAGTAACCAAAGTGAATCATTTATCAGCTCCCTCCCAAGTTTAACTGACCCCACTAAAGCTGGAAACGTGGGCACCTAATTATTATCAAATTACCTTTGATAACATACACAACTGACCGGGGAAAGAACCTCCACCTACAACAGGGAAGTGAGCAGAAAGTAAAGCTAAGCAGGAAGATGAATCTTAGGAGGAGATAAAAGTAAAGCTAAGGTAGGAAGATGGATCTTAGTAGGAGGAAACTCTTACAAAATAAAAAGAAAATAGGGTAAAACCATGCTGCTGGACAGTGGCATCACCTCCTATTCCCACAATACTGTTCTCATAGTGTCACTGTGACAAAAACTGATGGAATCACTGAACCAGGTCATGGCTGAGACACACTGAGGACTGTGGAGCACAAAGCCACGGGGTTAACAACTCACTGGGCAAGGCACAGGAGCAGAGACAGGAGCTGCATGTCACTGTCAGGATGTGTAACACAGAGCATGACTGCAAACTTTATGTTCACACAGATATTTGCTCTCCTCAGCACAAGCCAAGCTTGTCACAGTTCCCCAGCGTCTCACTCGCTGTCTCACAGACAGATGTTCCCTTCAAACCATGCAATGCTCGCAGTACCTCACTCTCTGTCATGCCAGGCACAGCCAGATGCTCTGCTGCCAATTTAAGGGAAGAAGAGAAGGAGTTTAATTGACATTTGGTGAGTTGCTACAGGGGGTAACTGAGGGACAGATCAGCCAAGCAGAAACCTGAATGAAGGGAGCATCTGCAAGGCTGAGACTGAGGGGAGCAGGCAGGACATGGGAGCATGCCAGGATTGCCAGTCCAGCACAGAGCACTGCACAGGGAATGCCACCCCCAGAACTGGTGAGGCACCTGCAGAAGGGATGTCTTTCTCCTGTCATAACATTATTCTCAACCCTGGCTTTCTGATATTCACATCATCTCTGGATACAGGCACTGTTTAAGTTGGCTTTCAGAAGTCAATTCAGAAATTAAACACCTGAGGCATCTGGTTAGTTCTGCTCTCCTGAATCTTATTCCCCAAAGACATTTAGTTTAAATAATGGCAAATAAAACTACTTTTGTGTGTAAACAGTGAAACCGGCCAGATGTCCCACTACAGGTTTCAGTGTGACAGAGTTTCATGAAGTTTTCAGACTCTGGATCAGAAATAAGTAGCACTGGTTCACCAACTCAGCCACATAAATGCAGTTCTCAAGATATCAATTTACAAACATTTAAGTATTTACTTTTTTTTTTTTGACCAAGATTAATGCAGAGGTTTGTTCCTTTCAGGAAACTGGAAATTAGATATATACTTTACCTGGCACTAACCTTTCACATGGCTCCTCCATGTATCATAATTAGGATGT